AGTTCGTTTTCTATCCAATCAAGAAGTTGATTGTTGCAAACGGCAATGATGAAAATGGTCTGCACAGGACATGATAAACACAGAGCGAGCTATCAAAGGATGTAGAAGGGAGTGAGTGGCGTTCAGAAAGTGCAGAAGTTTATAGATTGATAACAACTTAGCTCCTTGCAAACCAAGTCAAGATATAGAACCTTTACAAACCTGGATGTGAGTTTTGATAATTGCTTTTCCGACCAGCGTAGCGAAAAAGAATTCCCAGAAAGGAATCCCGAATTGTCCACACATAATGCCCGCCAAGTCAAACAGTGGATTTGGAACCTGAAAGATAGCAGAAATGCACGTACTTTCATTTCTCTGAACAAATCCAGGCATTAAGACTAGCTTACGTGAAATTTTATCCCACTAGACAACTCTCGAAAATCGAATAAGATGTTTAATAACCGAGGCGGGTAGGCGTGAATGTGTTCCTTTGAACAACTTAAGATGAAGGGAGAAAAATCACATGAAACTAGCAAGCAGTGGCAAAGAAACATGAAAGAATAAAGTCTTGACTAACCGAAGCAAGCAGTAGAATAGTAAGGAAATTCAAATGTTGAGCGTGTGAAAGGAACCATCGCTTCACTCTATTTAAGTATGTTGGAATGAATCCATTAGTTTCCCTCGAAGAGGCATCTAGTTCTTCCATTGCTTCTGATCTGCCACCGGAGAGGCGAGCTGCATAATGGAAGAAATATATTTGAACAGATATGAAAAGCATAACAGCAATGCCAAGAACAGTACAGCAGCAAAACAATAAACATACTAGAACATGTTATTTTGCGATTGGACTATTTCAGTTCACAGACTCGTATTGTTGATCTAAAACATAGCACTGATCGCAAAGTTCAAATTAAAAACTAGAGCGAGCTCCGGTTTGTCAATACAGTTTCTGCTCCTTCATAATTCTCTATCATCATCTTGACAAAAGAAAGGTTTAAAAAAGAAGTCCTCGCTGGCACAATGCCTAGTGTCCACTCCCCTTCGGGGTTCAGCCTCCTCCTTGGCACATCGCCCCGTGTCTGGCTCCAATACCAATTGTAACCATCCAAGCCCCACCGCTAGCAGATATTGTCCGCTTTGACTCGTTATGTATCGCTGTCAGCCTCATAGTTTTAAAACATGTCTACTAAGGAGAGGTTTCCATACACTTATAAGGAACACTTCACTTTCCTCTCCAACCAATGTGGGATCTTACAATCCACCCCTTAGGGGTCTAGCGTCCTCGCTGGCACACCACTCAGTGCCTGGCTTTGATACCATTTGTATCAATCCAAGCCCACAGCGAATAGATATTGTCCTCCTTGGATTTTCTCTTTCGGGCTTCCCCTCGAGGTTTTTAAAACGCATCTACTAAAGAGAGGTTTCCACACCCTTATAAAGAATGTTTCATTCCCCTCTCTAACCAATATGAGATCTCTAAACCAATTAATCATAAGCTAAAACTAACTGCACGATGACCTTGAAGCCAAATGTCTTGCCCAATAGTTCCTTCCCATGATAGCATATCATTGATTAGATAGGAGAAGAGGGATTCGCCACCCAGCGCAAACTAGAGGAGACCTTTCCAATTATTAATATCACGAAAAGGCTGTAGTAGTGAGAAAGAATTTTACATCTCCAATTGGTAAAAGATCACAAAAAAGTTTGAAATATTTAAGATCGCAGTAAACATTCAACTATAGTAATCGATATGTTAAAAAAATTTTAATGCATCGTATATTAGATGATATATCAAGAATTTGTCTCTCCCATTGGGAAAAAGATCACAAAGAAGTTTGAACCATTTCAGATCACAACAGACATTCAACTAAAGTAATCAACATGTTCACAAAGTTCGAATAGATTTATTCATACTCGTGCTTCTATACCATCTATTATCATTCAAGAGGAATGAATGATATCACCTCCATTATCAAGAATCATGTAAACATCACTAGAAAATAAGGAGGAATTGACATTATAACTTTTAGGAATACCAATAGGTACTTATTTTCTCATACCTGCCCTTGAGATAAAATAAGGAGGAAGCTCTCCTAGGGCGGTCCCAATACCCCACAGAATTGCCTCTATCTGAACCATTGGCAATATGCTGCTGAGTGGGACTCGTGATGTGAAAACTGCAGGTCCAAATTCTGAACAATCCTTCTCGAGCCACGATGGGCCTCTTTTCAATTGTATTGTGTCATAAGTGGCACTCTTCAAGTCCACTCGACCACACTGCACCGCCTTTATTGTGAAAAACCCAATGTGAGGCCCAAGATAAAGGACAAAAGTATGCAGACCAGACCCTGAAAGTAAATGATAGGGAGTGAAATAATACACTAAATACAATCTTGATCATAACAGAAAGATGCAATCTAAATATCATAGAAAAATGTTGCCTTTTCAAAGAAGCAGCAATAATCAGCATTGCTAACCATCATTTAAACCAAACAACATTAATTACCAAGACCAATTGATGATGCAACTCCAAGGATCACCCACCACAAGCCGTAGTCAAAGTATTTCACAATCTCCTCAACATGCTGCAAAACACAGAGGATTTATTTGATAAAATGATTGCCTCAAAACTGGAAGGCAGTGGACGAATCAATAGGAAAAAGCCAATAATGTCAAGAACAGAAATAAATCGACTTCCTGAATATAAAGGAGGAACAAGGTAGTTTATGAAGAACAGTTTGATTAGGACATCCTACATCTCTTCTCTATCCACCATCTTAACAATTCCTCTAAATACTTACAAGTTTCAATCTCTTCTGTAATATGGCATTTATACTGGATTTGATTTTTCTTTTTTTTCTTTTTTTTTTAACGAAGAAACTTGACTTTCATTCAGATAAAATGAAAGAATACATGGGCATACAAAAGAAGGAGAAGTCCACAAAAAGGAGACGTCTCCAAACTAAATAGTTACAAACAAGCCTCGAAACAAAGGCCCAAGGAGAAACAGGGAATCTAACAAAGGACCAAAAACAGCCATAAGAACTCTCACTATCTTCTAAAGATTTTGTTGTTTCCCCCAAAGCCCCCACAAAATAGTGCAAGCCCCAACCTCATCGATTATACATGTGGTGTATAAACTTTGTGGCAGAATTTTCAAAGCTATAAATATAGTATCTCTCAAGAGCCTACACAAATAGGCAGAAATTTAAATACACGACTTTTCTTCATGGAACATGTAAGATCTGACGTCGGTTGGAGAGGGGAACAAAGCATTCTTTATAAGGGTTGGAAACCTCTCCCTAGTAGACGCGTTTTAAAAACCTTGTGGGCAATATCTGCTAGCAGTGGACTTGGGCCGTTACAAAACATCACTCGTAGGCATCCATGATAAAACAATATCATAAGGCAATATCATAAAACAATATCATAAACCTAGAAAAATGTCGATAAAATATAGAATATACATCCAGAAGGCTGCCATACTAATATACCGTATCGAATCACAAAGATGCTTCCACATTTCAGCAGGAACAGACTATCATGGTTTATCCAAAATAAAGTAAAACTTGCAGATGCATAAATACACACACAGTGTTGAAATAAGTGAAAATCTGAAGCTAACATGAATACAAACAGGCAGAGATACCTTCTCATGTGGCCCTTCGATAGTCAAAATCAAAATTCCAGCTACCCCAATAATCAAGTGTAAGAGCAAAAACCAACCACCTTTCGCTAAAATGTATGCAATCGAGTGTTTGCTATATTGAAGAACACCCAAAATGAAAAACTTCAATGTTTTGAATGGTTGAGTCACCAATGTCAAATTTTCAAGTTCTTCCTTCTGCTTTCTACGTAGCTCTGCAAAGTATGGTAACTTCATTAGGTAATAAAATCCAATGTGAACGATCCCAAGTTAGGTTGAATACGAGAGAATATGCGTTCTCGTTAGTTCCATAAAAACTCAAGTGAAAGCAACAACTAAAACAGTAAATCCGTGGACACAAATTGAACTGAAGAAGCAAGGCACAAATGCATTTCAGTTTTGAAACTCCAATAGATCCGGAACTAATATTCATGTTTCCACGCTTGTTTGCAATTAACCAGTAAAGCCAATCAATCAAAGCCCCTTACCACGCATTAACAAATGCATTTCACTTCATTAACACAGTTCAGCCAATCACCAGCCTCAATTCTCTCTAAAAAGTTAACAATAATGACAATATAAACAATATATAAACATAAGGCTCCAATTACAACATCAACTACCCTTCTTGCAGATACGAGTCTTAGCATCAAAATCTATCAATGAAATACTAAATGATTAAAACAAGCTTCCAAATTAGAAGGCCCTAATTTCCTTCAACTTTTCTTGTATCAATGCTTCGGCCGAACAAAAGATAAATTACGAGAGACAGGAATACTTGCCTGAAATGGATACTTCAGAATCATGAGAAGTAATGGAAGCTGCTTCTTCAACAGTCCCCATTCCGCGAACAGCAATTGGAAGACCGTATCGAAAGGGAGAAAACGGAGAGAAAAAAAAATCTACTTGCTATCGTAATCTCTTGTATTAAAAAAAAAAATGGTAACATCTAGATCAGAGATCGACAAACATCATGACGAGAATCGAGAGGAAAAAACAGATAGCAAAAATTCAAAATCCAGCACCTGTTCTTGAAGATCGGAAAACAAAGGGAGGATAGAGAGAGAGAAAGAGAGGGAAATCAAAGGCGTTTTTGGAACGAAAATCCTCTCTGCAGAGTTTATCGCGTCTTCATTCGCCCCTCCAAGATCGAATCTTTGGTTCTTTCCTCGATCGATATTTATTTTCCCCCAATTTTGAGAAAATGTTTGTCAGATTGTTTCTTGGTAAATGTAATTAAAACGTTATGTAATAATAAAAAAAAATAAACAATACAAAAATTTTAATTTTTTTAAATAAAATTTCAATATTGTTAAAACTAAAATATAAATATAGATATTATATTTACTATTAACAAATAAACTTGAACTTTTAAAAATTGTATTAATATTTTTTACTATATACCGATAAATACGACCAAGAAAGGGGGACAATTAACTCAGTGAATTGGTAGCTACTAAAAGGTAAACGGCTTGTTTTTCCTTGAGTATAGTATGATGAGCCCAAGTTACGAGCGTCATTTATGAGTCTTAGAAGGTGATCTGGATTATTCTCTCGACGATGAAGCTTATCCCAATCATGTCACTGGTCGATTTTGACTCCTGTTATTTTAAAAAAGTCATATATATTTATTTTTGTGAAAAAAAATAATTATTTTGTATTCTAGTATAGTTTAATAGATTAAGAATATACTAAAATATTAAAATTTATATTTATACAATAATAAATTTGTAACTTAATGAATTTAAAATAAAGAGTTGGGAATAAATCGAAATATTGTTATTAAAATTTTAATTAAATGGAAAATGGTCAAATAAGGAAAGTCACGAAATAAAGTATTGTAGTTTTCTCGCACGGAATACCCAACTTGGGAAGGGGACCTGTAATACTATGAATAAAAATATATTTAAATGAAAATTAAATACTCATAAATTTTTTAAAAATTAATTAATGAAAATTTTATATAATAAAAAAAAAAGTTCGTTAAATAAATTTTAACAATTGTAAATTTTTTAGAACCATTAATTATCTCGGAAGGTTTACTATTCAAATAAGAATAATAAAAGTTAATTAATTATAAGTATAATTAATCTCAAGCTTCTTCATCATTAAACTAGCTAATTATTAAATAATTATAATTTATCAACCAATTATTTAATTATTACTCTTATAATTTAGGGTTGGTACAATCAATGGGAGCACAAAATAATAATAATAAAAAAAATAAAAATAAACCTCTGAACTCTCGAACTTTTGGGCCGACCAAAACTAAGCCCAAATGAATTGTAGGAGCATCAGAGTATCTTGCTTGTCCATACTGGATTGTCCTTTATCGCCACTTGGGCCTAGGCCCACCCAAAATAGAAACAAATATTTTCAATATTACCTTTTGAAAATAATAAACTTTCATTTATTTTCTTTAATTTGAAATTACTTCTACACCCTTTTTAAAATAATATTCATAATCATGATAATTAAATAATATATTGGTATGATACGTACCATAATTAGTCTCACAATTTTATTAGAGCACTCTTAAAAGAAATGTTTCTTTCTCCTCCCCGACGGGACCTCACATGTTAAATAAACCCTAATATGCTTTCCGTGGGTGACAAGAAAAAAGGAGGGTATCCTACACTATCCTCCCATGGAGGCAAAGCTTAATAACTTTTTTTTAAAAAAAAAAAAAAAAAAATTAAATAATAGGTCTAATATGTGATTTATCTCTAAACCATTCCTTAATCTCCACGTTAAAGAAAATTCTAATGTAACATTTTGAAAAGGAAAATTTTATCATAGTCATTTATAAAAATTTTGAAATATAAAGTAATATTAAAAAATAATAATAATTAATTTCATTAGTGCTCTGTTTTACTTCGGTTAAATGCAATGCAACACCCGACAGAGAGCTTCCAATCAATCCAGTAATTTTGTTGTTCTCCCTCACCCATTTTTCTCTTCTTCTTCTTGAAGAAGAAAGCACTGCAACAAAAGGGGCTGCCATTTTTGCAGGCTTCTTCTTTCATTGCTCTCTTTCAGTTGAATTTGGTTTTAAAACAATGGGTGTCTGTCCTAGCGTGGAGATGCTTCAGAAGCTCTTGGAGGAGTTTTTCTCCAGAAACTTGATGAAGTTCGGCTATGGCCGAGGGAAGAGAATTAGAGGCTCAGTGGTGATTATGAAAAAATGTCTCCTCGACTTCAAAGATGTTAAGGCTTCGATTCTCGATCGAGTTCATGATTTCTTTGGAAATGGCGTTTCCATTCAGCTCATCAGCTCGAATCCGCCCGATTCAGGAGAAAGATTAGGAGTGGGGAAACTGGAGAAGTGGACAACGACGGTGACGCCGTCATTAACGGCCGAGGAGATTGAGCTGAGAGTCTTCTTTGAATGGGAGGAGAGGATGGGAGTACCGGAAGCTTTCATCATTAGAAACAATCATCGGAGCCAGTTTTACTTGAAGACAGTGACTTTGCAGGATGTTCCCGGCCATGGCGGCTCTGTTCATTTCGTCTGCAATTCTTGGGTTTACCCTGTTCATCGATATTCTTACGACCGTGTCTTTTTCTCCAACAAGGTAACATTTGGTCTGCTTAGATTCTTCATTTTGGGTTCACAAAATTTTGATTCTAAACCCATGAAATGATTTTGTTAGAGTTATCTTCCAAGTGAAACGCCTGAGCCACTGCGGAAATACAGAGAAGAAGAGCTTGTTAATCTCCGTGGGAATGGCGTTGGAGAGCTTAAGGAGTGGGACAGAGTTTATGACTATGCTTACTACAATGATCTTGGAATGCCAGACTCGGGAAAGAAGTATGTACGTACCGTTCTTGGCGGCTCGGGCGAGTTTCCTTATCCTCGAAGAGGACGAACCGGTCGAAAACCTGCAAAAACAGGTTCAGATTATGAACTTTCAATCAATTCTATCATGTGGGTTGCTAGCAAACTTGTTAGATCATTGACTTGGTCGTGTTTTACAGATCCATGCTGCGAATGTAGGTTGCCTCTGTTGAGTTTAGACGTTTACGTGCCAAGAGACGAGCAGTTTCGGAACCTGAAATTCTCGGATTTTCTAGCTTACGGTTTGAAGTCCATTGTTCAGGCATTGCTCCCAGAGATCAAATCTTTATGTGACAAAAATGTTAATGAGTTTGATTCCTTTCAAGATGTTATGAATCTTTATGAAGGAGGAATAACTCTACCAAATGAAATACTAGGCAGCGTGAGGGAGCTGGTACCTTGGCAGCTGTTTAGGGAGCTGATGCGTTCCGACGGCCGCCAGTTTCTGAAGTTTCCCGTGCCTGATGTGATCAAAGGTATGCAAATATAGTCTACGCTCTCACTCAGATCGAACTCTACGACGTCGAGCTTTCGAAATGATCTAATAGAACGCTAAATTACACTAATTCCAGAGAGCAAAACAGCTTGGAGGACAGACGAGGAGTTCGGTCGAGAAATGCTTGCTGGAGTTAACCCGGTCGTCATTCGTCGACTCGAAGTACGACACGCTTCATATCCATAACATCGTTTACTAGATTCCCGAGGCTCATTTCATTCATAATTCACTTTAAAATGTTGCTCTCTAGGAGTTCCCTCCAGTCAGCAAGTTGGATTCTAAAACATATGGGAAGCAGAATAGTTCCATTACAGAAGAACACATAGCAGAGCACTTGAATGGGCTCACTGTTCATCAGGTATTGCACATACTTCATTCATCTCCTTAAACGGCATATCTTGATCTTATGTTTCTTGATGATCAGGCTTTGGACATGAACAAGCTTTTCATTCTGGATCATCATGATTCACTGATGCCATACATCAGTAGAATAAACTCGACATCCACAAAGACATACGCTACCCGAACACTCTTCCTTCTGCAGGACAATGGCATCTTGAAGCCATTAGCTATGGAACTAAGCCTGCCACACCCACAAGGTGATCATCATGGAGCTGTGAGCAAAGTTTTCACTCCTGCAGAAAGCGGTGTCGAGGGATCGGTTTGGCAGTTGGCTAAAGCTTATGTCACCGTGAATGATTCTGGTTATCACCAGTTGATCAGCCATTGGTATTGTAACATAAAATCCTAGAACAATCAAAACAACATACAGGATTGATTATCTTCCTCGACTAATTTACTGCATTTACAGGCTGAACACTCATGCCGTGATAGAGCCATTCATCATTGCAACAAACAGACAAGTAAGTGTTATGCACCCAATCTACAAGCTTCTTCACCCACATTTCAAGGACACAATGAACATTAACGCCATGGCTAGACAAATTCTCATAAATGCTGGTGGAATTCTCGAAAGCACTGTATTCCCAGGAAAATATGCCATGGAAATGTCAGCAGTTCTTTATAGAAACTGGGTATTCACAGACCATGCACTCCCAACTGATCTAATCAAGAGGTGGGTTGTGTTCATTTCAGCCAAAATAAATTTCTCATATTCCTAAATTTCATAAACATGACTAGAAAATTAAATTCTCATACCCTATTTGCAGAGGAGTGGCGGTTCCTGATCCAAGTAGCCCCCATGGCCTCAAGCTTCTGATAGAGGATTATCCTTATGCCGTCGATGGGCTCGAGATCTGGTCTGCAATTGAGAAATGGGTTATAGAATATTGTTCTTTATACTACGAATCAGATGAAATGGTTCAAGAAGATACAGAAGTTCAATCATGGTGGACAGAGCTTCGCAATGTCGGGCATGGGGATTTGAAAGACGAACCATGGTGGCCGAAAATGGACACAAGAGAAGACCTAATCAAATCATGCACCATCATAATTTGGATCGCATCAGCCCTACACGCCGCTGTGAACTTCGGGCAATACTCCTACGCCGGGTACCTCCCGAACCGGCCAACAGTAAGCCGACGTTTCATGCCGGAACCAGGAACGCCGGAGTTCAAAGAGCTGGAGACGGACCCGGATTTAGCTTACTTGAAGACGATAACAGCGCAGCTACAAACACTCCTCGGCGTGTCGCTGATTGAGAGTTTATCTCGACATTCGGTGGACGAGATTTATCTAGGGCAGAGAGATACGCCGGATTGGACATCCGATGAAGAAGCGGCGGCGGCGTTTGAGAGATTTGGGAATCGGCTGCGGGAGATTGAAGAGAAGATTATGATGATGAACAAGGATGAGAAATGGAAGAATCGAGTTGGGCCGGTGAAATTGCCGTACACATTTCTGTTCCCAAATACCTCGAATTTCTACGAGGAAGAAGGCCTCAATGCTAGAGGGATCCCAAATAGCGTTTCGATCTGAAACATCCTTCGTTCATTTCGATGATCTTGAATTGAATAACAAAATTCTTCGTTCTTGTGTTTTATATAATTAAATTATAAGTTTGATTTTAAAATTTTGAGTTTATTCCATTTTTAAATATTTAATAAATTTCTAGGAAAAAATTAAATATTTTAAAAAACTTATTAGAAAATATTAATTTAAAAGGTCTACAACCATTTTTTAGCTAGGAATTAATTATATATTTTTTAATTTATGGATTTTTTTTATTATAGATGTTCCAGAAACACCTGCAGGACACGTTCCCATCTTCGTCCCGGTTTCTTATTTCAATCTTCTAAAATTTTCAGTTCTATTTAATGGGATTGGAGCGTCCCCGTCTCTTATGGGATTTGAGTTGAATTACCAATAGAAATTTGTCTGATAAAGTTTTGACAGACAATTTTTTCTCATCTTTGTATATATGTTTTTTTTTCTTCATTTACCAAATAATTTTCATTAAAAATGTAATACATATTTTTCTATATATATATATATATTAGATAGGACGAGGAATATGATGATGTCTCCTAATCTGTTTAGTCAATGGGGTGAAAGCTCTCAAGTTCCTTTTCTTATACCCATTTTAAAAATATATTATTTACAGTAAAGCTGACATCTTTAAATATTACTTGAAACAACTAAAACAATAGCCTTAAAAATACATTTTCATTTATTTATTAATACACCTAACTATTACAACGAGGAATAATTTTAGGGCGCTTGATAGGTTACAAGACTATCGAGATGCATTTAATTAGAAAGGGCCACCTATGTACAAAACGGGGTCCCACCTAACACCATTATTGCGTAATATCAACTACATAATCTAAGCACCGACAGTTGTTGCCATGAGAACCAAATCAACTTCGCTCCGACTCCGATTCATCATTTCATTGCCATTGTTTGATTCTATAGTCACCCGTATCTCTGGAACTACTTGTGCCAAATTATGCACCGTCTCCACTGCATAATCCGCCTCCTTGCTCTTGGATGATTTTCCCACCTTCATTTAACCAAAAATAATTTATTATTTATTTTAGAGTGGATATTGATGACGTGGCTCCACTATTTGAGTGACATCGAACATGGATAAGATGACGATTCCACGTTCCCACCCATTTGGCGGAGTACTTTTTGGACAAATTAGAAGACGCCACGTGTAATAGATTATATATATTTTTTCCAATAACTAGAATAAATTCATTCTCCACTTCACATTAAATGAGAAGCATTTGGACATCTTCTTGATCACTTATGATATTATCATCGTAATAATTATTTAATTTAAAATAATAATTTTTATTTATTCGACCCATGAGCTTGAAATTATATTAAAATAGTTTGAACGATCGCTTTTAAATTCTAAAATTATATGAAAATTTAAAAGATTCCCACGTTTTTTTATAGGTGAATCGATCCAACTAACGATTTTAGATAATCGATTCAGGTTTAAAACGTAGAGACGATTAAATGTAATTAATTGTAAAAATAAATATTTGAAAAGTAGATATGAAAATAATTGTGGTAGTTACAATAATAGGAAATTAACCCGTTTTAAAATAGGCGAAGGGGGAAATTTCTTACCAGAACGGTACGGAGGCCGATGGCTTTTCCGGCGGCGATGTTGCGGACGCTGTCGTCGAGAAACAGCTGCGAACAACGAACAAAACAAATCAATAAACGATTGATTTTTACAGCAAATTTTATTTTATGACGGCGGGCGTACCGTACGACAGGGGTCAATGTCGGCGGCGTCTAGTGCGATTCTCATGGCGTCCATCGACGGCTTGAGAACGACCGGAAACTCGTTCGGCCGAGTCGCCGTCGGAAGATTTGGATTCATGGTCTCGAAACATATGATCTTCTCGAAACAACCCTCTAAGCCCAATCGACCGAGCACTTCGGTCGCATGCTTCATGTCGGAATTCGTGAATATCTGTGGATCAAACAGAGATTTATCAATTTTAAATCAGAAATGTTTCATCAGAAAAATCAAACTTACAATTTTTCTTTGCGGAATGGTCAGCAAGAGACGCCGGAGCTGAAAGTCCTGTTTTATCCGGTCGTACGGCAGCCTCCCGTGCACGAAACTGAAACCCAAAACACCAAACCAGACATTAAATTTAACGATCATTGTTTGTCTTAATCCAAACAAGTGGGTTTTTGTTTTTTATTCTCATACTCATGGTAATCATCGGCATGAATGTCATATCCCAATGCCTGCAAAGAATCAAATTACCCAAAAGAATTAGCGTATAGTTTAGAACAGAGCATGTTTTTTATAATTCGTTAATGATCGGGAAATTACTCGCAAACCAGCCAGAGTGCTGCCGTATGTTTTAAAAAGCTCTGTCCGGAGAATCGGAGCTTGGGTTTTCGGGAATCCAAATTTCTCGATGAGAAAATCTGTGATAATCAACGCCGCCAGTCAAAATCTTAAACGTTATTTGGACAAAATCACTGTTAAACCTTAAAACCCGACAAGAACATGAAGAAACAAAACATTTTTCAGAGACCTTCGATGTTTTTCTTGCAAGCAGCTGCAATTCCAGTGCTGAAAGAGTACAGAGTGTCATCCAAATCTGTATGAAAAAACAGAGTAAGAATCTTAAATCTTAAATCCTAAAATCTTGGAGGAGAAGAACAACAACAACAACAACAACAATAACAAGCTACCGAAAAGGAGGCAATCCAAAGAAGAAGCCATGGCTGAAAATGGAGGCGAAACAGAGTAAAACAGAGAAAAACAGAGAGTTCAGAAGAAGCAAGAGAGAAGCAGAGGGAGCGCAGAGGGGAGGGAATACGAGTGGAATATGTAGGGAAAGGCGCAAGGTACACGCGCTTGGATAACGATGCGCGTGAACATGCTGAGTCAGCCTCCTCATTTTTATTATAATTTTAAAAAATCAAGGTTTAAAATATAATAACAACCCGACTTATTTATTTACATTATAAATAAAAATAAATCAGTACGGAGCTAAAGCATATGGTGTGGATTTAGGTTAGGGTTAGGTTAGGGTGGGTTGGTTGGTTTTAATTTATCTGGATTGGTGTGCCGAGTTGGAATGGGACCCAGCCACGCGGTTTGATGTTGACAACTGCCTGGACGAGACGAACCTACGCCGTTCTGAACCACGTGTCCAACTCGGAGTTTCGTACCCAACTCAACCACCCACGTGGGAGATTTTGGGTTGCCAAAATCCAAATTGATTCCATTTTTAAAAACAAATAATAATAATAATCATATATATTTTAGGTCCCTACTTTAATAAATTATTAAATACTCTTTAAATTACAAGTTTAAGAACATATTAGACATCTTAAAAGTTTGAGGACTAAATTTATAATTAAATTTATATTTATATATTATTCTTTCGACCATTATTAATTAATAATTTTCTTTTTCTTCAAAGCTAAACGTTAAAATATTTAAATTTTAATATTTTAATCGATGACATATATATTAAATAGTTGATAGATTAATCGATTAAACATCTACATATAAATTGAGGAAAAAATAAAGGAATAAAAACAAGATTTTATAAGATATTTACGATATATGAATATATTATATAAAAAACTAAGCTTATTATATAATTATTTGGGAGTGACGTATTCCTAAATAATTGCAAATATTAAAGGAAAAACATTATTAATTAATTGGAATAATTGGATTAGATAATTGTGGATGGGACGTGGATTGTGAGTTTGTGTGTTACGTAACCCATTATTAACCTTACTTCTTATCTTTTAAAATTATATAAAATGTTTAAAAGTAACCAATAATTTCAAATATAAATATATATAAAAAATAATATTATTTCCTTACAGATTTAATAAATTTATACCCTACTTATAAAATTTAAATTTCGGGTTTAATAAATGGAGTTTATGAGTAATAAATTAATTAAAAATTAAAATTTCAGATACTAATTTTTTAATTAAAATTGCATTTATAAATTTTGTATAATTTCAAAAGGCTAAATAACCTATTTATTAACAAAAATGTCAAATACAATTTTTTAATTTAAATTTGCGTCTATAAATACATGAATATATCTGAATATGTTATTGACTCGTTGGTCATGGGACGAGTCAATAAGTTTTTCGTGTATGGTTTCTATTTCAGTTTCTAACCCTGTTCAGAAATCGAGACAAGGACAGGGATGAGGACACTCCATTTAGCTAAGGAATAGACGTAGAAGTCAAGGTCATTAGAGTCTGTCTGTGTCATCCATTGAAAGAGAGAAATAAATCTCGCTCTACTCTTTTACTCAATATTCACTCAGATTGAAGTGGGCCCCACGGGATTACAACTCCACGTGCTAGATAGACATTTCTAGAGAAAAAGTCGAAAATTAAAAAATTATTAGAAAATTTTTAAAGTTACTCGATAAATACAAAATTAAATTTATGAAAAAAATGTTTGATGGAGGGACTAAAGTATTTTAGTAATTAAATGTATAAAATTGTATTTTTAGCATGGGGTGATGGATATAGGCACCAACTCTTATAATTTAAAATTATATATTTTGATAAGTGGACTTTATACTTTATTTTTAACGTAAGTCTCATTTTTTGTTTTATGTGCATTTTTTTAATCATAATATTGGATTATTAGTTGGACGGTGATAAAGACTTATTTTCATTTATAAAGTGAATATAAATGAAAATTATAATTTTTATTAATTATTTTCATTTTTTTCTTTAAATTTTTATTAATTCTACCGGTGGCTGTAGTTTAGTGGTAAGAATTCCACGTTGTGGGTGTGGAGACCTGGGCTCGAATCCCAGCGGCCACATAACTTTTTTGACTTTTGCTTCTTACACAGTTCATTGGGCTCTGTTTGGGCCGGATGACAATTGATGACATGGTCCATTATCGAAGCTAGTAAAAATGATTATAATCCAAAATTTGTTTCTAACTATTATTTAAATAAAAAAATTACAAAACATGGTTTAGTGGTGAGACCAGGGTTCGAATCCCAATAAGCCACAAATAGTTAAATCTATAAATTTTAATTATGACGCATATAAGTAAAATTAACAAATATAAATTCATTCCTTATTCTTCACCGGGCTCTAAAAGAACCATAAATTTATTTATTTTTTTTAAAATAGAGCTTCATATGTTAATTCAATTACCTATAAAATAACATAATTTTGAATTTTATCATTTAAGCAAAGGATTTCTATCAAAGTAATTAGCTGGTCGGAGCTCGAAACCGCCATGGAGAGCCGTCATCGCCGGAAACTCCTCTTGACAAGGGCTGTGATGGAACCCTACCGTGTACCATACAACAATATCTCTATTCTCAATCCTCCTATTCCTACAAAATTATCGATAATTTTTTAATAAAAAAATTAAGGATATTAATGTTTCTATATACTATCGAATTTTAAGAATATTTTTTAAATAAATTATTAATTGATTCTATTGAAAATATATTTTAATTATTTGAAATTTATTTACCTTTTGGCCCAAACAGCTAAGCCATCATCACCACGGCTCCGATCGGCGTAAAACCCGACCGGCCATCTCTCCGACTTGTTATAAGGAGTCACCCATAATGGGTACTTGGTGTAAGCTGCTCTGATTTGAGGGTAGTCATCGTCGGCTAGTAAGGAATTAACCGGTTGTCCGGTGATGAGCCGGTAGCCAACCGGATTTCCAATCTTCGTCTTCTTATTGGGGTTTACAAACAAGAGCTCGGCTGGGACATCAGAGCTCAGCTGAAGCTTGGCTTCAGTTTCCGTTTTGATGGTCTCTCTGTTAATTTTCCAGTAACTTTTTCGGGGTGACGTGGCGTTGACCTTCGTTGTCGGTACTTCCGTAGTCAACTTGGCTTTGACGAAGGAGTTGTCGGTGCCGTCAACGTCGAGGTCAAGGTAGTAGGTTAGGAAGTGGTCGTGGTTGATGGCCACCGTGTTGGCGGCGATCAGAGTTCCGTATATTTCTTCCGTTATATCTACGTTGTTTCTGTACGCTGTGGCTTTCACCTCCAAAAGCCCCGTTAAAGCTATCTGCAAACACACACCTAATTATAATTATTTAATAAAAAAATATTATTCAACATTCACCTTTGATATTAAAAAAAATAAAAAAATATTATTCTACTATGTCCTTTAAAAAATGAGAGGATATTAATAAAACATTTTAAATTTTAAGGGGGCATAATTCAACCTCCGTCACACGAGTTACGCACAATACCGACACACCTGTGTCGTCCGTTGCTGTCATTAAAAAATTCATTTAAAAGAAAGTCGCTCGAGACAGCACAAGACATTCATCTGAAAACACTCGCCATCACTGACACATGTTATTCAATACTATGCTTAAAAAATATATTTAAAAAGGAAGTCGCCCGAGACAAACCGATACACTCATCACGAAATACTCGCCCTATTACTATAACACACATGTGTCACAAGATAGCTTGTTTAAGCCATATGGATTCAGAGATGGTATGTCTGGTTTGACACATTTAAAATAAAATATTAAAAGTTTCGATCCTAACTTTTTAAAACTTTTTTAAAAACAATAATGATTTAGGGGAGGAAAGGAAATACCCCAATTTTAATAGAGCCACTCCTTTTGAATTCCCAGTCAAGAACATAGTCATAATTCCCAACATTTGCCACCATTCTAACCACCAAGCTCCTCTCCGCCTCCCCTCGTCTAATCTGCAAAACAATAATGATTGTTAGACTAACACAAATCTCTACAATAATATGATATCGTTTGAACAAAATGTATAAGAATTTTGTAAAGAATCATCGGAATTATCCTCACCACTTTTCCAGGAATATTGATCTCTGTGTGTCTCCATAAAACGTCCCCTGATTGGCGTTCGAAGATACAAATTGCTCTGGTTACCTTCTGCGCTCGCCCGTCGGCGCCGGCCATGTATCCGTCGAGATACTCGGCGGATTCCGGGCAGTCAATCAGCGGCTGCAGAGTGTCCGCCGACCGCCCAAATCCAAACTCTCCGATATCCATGAAGGTTCTGAAGTACCATTCATTTGTTGGATCCATATACGGCACAAACGTCTCTGAAATATGTCCTCTGTAAAGCACTCGTCGGAATTTCTTCTTCTCGTCGTCGAAAATGGAGGCTGTCGAGATAATAACTCCGGCTCTGGCGTTGAATCCCACGTGGAAGACCCAATTTTCCCATTTTACTCGATGGCCTTCGACGGTGAAATGGGTGTTTGTCGAGTTGGGATTGGTGGATTTGCGCTCTGTTTTCTTTGATTGGTAATCGGTGCCTTCTGATTCCGGTAAAGGGGCGGTGAATCTGTCGGAATAGTCGATGATTTTCATCGAATCGACTTCGATTAGTGTAATTATGCCTTCAATTGGCCGGGAGAAGACATTGCTGGTTCCTTCTCTGTAAAAACACGCAGCTTTTAGAAGCCTTTTGGTCGTTTTCTCGCCGTACCAGCCGACTGTAAATGGGAGGCAAGAAACATGAGACAAATTCAAGCCTCTCCTATGAATAGAAGCTTTGAATTTTGGGTAATTAAGAGGTAATTTACTAGCTTGGAAGAGCTCAAGAAAAGTGAAAGGAGGATATCCATGGCCGTTATAGACATGGTCGGATTTGACCGATCGTGTGGCAAGGTCTACAAGTAGTTCGTGGGTGGAATCCGCCGCACGAACCACAACCTTGGCTTGACGCGGCGGGGGGTGGAGGTGGGTGTGGCTGTTTTGTTGACCGGAGGAGAGCCAGGAAAGAACATGTTTCTTCTCTGGTTCCTCCAAGTCAACGAAGTGAAATGTGAGATTTTGAAGGTTTCCCAGGTGGGATTTTTGGATAATGAGCCTTATTTGGTCGAGCTCCGCTGGGTTTAAAGGGTCGAGGGGATGGAAATGGGGTGGTGGCGCCGCCGTGGAGAAATGAAGGTGAAGGACAAGAAGAAGCAACAGAGGAAGAGCCATGGAGGGAGACAGAGAGGGAGGAGGGAAAATTCAACTTAAAAATGTGAAAAAGAAGAACTTATTGTATACTATTCTTTGTGTTTTCTTGCATTGAGAGCAAGTGTGATTTGTCTGTAAGAGAGTCTTAAAGTAGAATCAAAGGAGGTAATTATGGGGATAGACGAACACGACTCTCCATAATGATATATATTGTCCACTTTGAGTATAAACTCTCATAGTTTTGCTTTGGCTTCCCCAAAAGACCTATCGCTAATGAAAAAAGTATTATTAATTGATAATAAATTCATGATCATTTTCTAAATTAGTCGATGTGAAACTTTCATAATCCAATCATGGATTCATCAGAGAGGGCAAATGGAGCGGTTGAGTGGGTAGGGAGGGGTGGCTTTGAGAACAGGATTGCTCTCGAAAAAATTGGTCGGCCTCAACTCAAACCCACGGCTCAGCGTAGGCATTAATGGGAAATCTTCTTGACAAGGCACATGATGAAACCCCATGGTGTACCACATCACTATGTCCTTCTCCTCTATCTCCCTGTTCCTGCGTTCATCAGCACATCCATATATGTTCTTGCTTAGACTCTTTCTTAAACTTAGTAACCATTCTTCTATTTTTGACTTAATCAAATCACATAATGTCCACTTTAAACTATAAAACTAATGCCAATCTATATAGATCGAATTGAAACCGTGTCCAAACTATAGGAGATAGCTTCGTGATGATGTACAATATGCATAAACAAATTAAACTATTGTAAGATCCTACATCAGTTGGAGAGGGGAATCAAGCATTTCTTTTCAGAGTGTGAAACCTTACCCTAGGAGACACGTTTTAAAAATGTGAGACTGACGATAATGTGTAACGAGCTAAAACGGACAATATTTGCTAACAGTAAGCTTGGGTTATTACAAATGATATCAGAGTTAGACACCAAGTGGTGTGCCAGCAAGGATGTTAGGCCCCCAAACGAGTGGAATGCGAGATCCCACATCGGTTGGAGAGAGGAATTGGGGTGGATTGTGAGATCCCACCTTGGTTGGAGAGAAGAACTGAGGTGGGAGGATTGTGAGATCCAACATCAGTTGGAGAGTGGCAATGTGTGGTCGATTGTGAGATCCTTCCTTGGTTGGAGAGGGAAACAAACATTGCTCGTATGAGGAACTGGGGTGGATTATGAGATCTTATATTAGTTAGAGAAAGGAACAAACATTTTTTATATGAGAACTCGGGTAGATTATGAAATCTCATATCGGAGAGGGGAAGGAACATTCCTTATATGGGTGTGAAAATCTGAGGCTAACGATGTACGTAACATGCCAAAACAACCAATCTCTGTTATGGTCGAACACTCTGTATTTAATAGAAAATTTTGTTTATTTTACCCAGAAGTTTGTGTATCCCACTAGCTACATAGCACATGTTATTTATGTTAAATTAATCATAAATCTACTGTCCAAACAGTGGCAATAAAATGATTTAACTTAACCTAATCACATGCATAAATCCTTTTATTAAGCTAACAAAAACAATTAAATTAATTTAGATTACTTTAATCAGACGGTTTACCTTAGACTCCAAGTAGCCAAGGTATCATCTCCACGGCTCTGATCTGTGTAGAGCCCAGAGGCCCATTTCTCAGAGCTATTATACGGTGTAACCCACACATTGTAATTCGTGAACGCTGCCCTAATTTGGGGGTAATCGTCAGCACTCATAAGGGGACCCACCGCCGAGTTCGGAATCAGACGGTACCCGACGGGATTCCCCAATCTGGACTTCCGATTGGGATTAACGACCGCCAACTCCGCCGCTTGACTGCCGAATTTGATCCTCGCATCGGCCTCTGTTCTGGCCGTCTCGGAGACGACCGTCCAATAGCTCTTCCTAGGGGAATCGGGGGTCGGTGGTCGGACTGTGCGGAGGTTGGATTTGACGAAGGAGTTGGGGCCGCCAACGATGTCGAGATCGAGATGGTAGATGAGGAAGTGGTCATGGCGGACGCCGATCGTATTCTCCGATATCAACGCGCCGTAGACTTCCTCCTTTATTTGGTCACTGTGAGTGTATTTTGATGCCCTTACTTCCAGCAAACCCGTTAACCCGACCTGTCAATAATAATTATTACAAACTAAAAAAACTCGAATTTTAAAAAAAAATTATTAATAATATATTAATAAAATCGATAATATCAATACCTTTAAATATATAAAAAAGGTTAAATTTTATTAATTTTATTTATTATTCTATATATTAACCTTAAAAACTTTCGAAAATATATTTTTTTTTGTTAGTTTAAATTTTTTGGTGCATTTTTAAATAATACTCTATTTTTAAATTTTTAAATGATATTGATGAAATTTTTTAAAATGTATTTATTAATATTACATGTCAATAATAATTTTAGAAACTAATTTATTTTAAAATAAGCTTTAATTTTAAAAAAATTATTAATATTATATGGATGAAACTATAAACACGTTTATAAAATTTTAAAAATACATTTTTAAGTAATCTATTAAAAATGGGTATTAATGAAATTTTTGAAAAGTTATTTATTAAATATTTTAAAATTTTTAGGATATTTAAAAGTATTTTAAAATTTTAAAAATATTTTAATTGACTTACGTTTGCAATAATGGAGCCACTCTGCTTAAATTCCCAATCGACAATATAATCATAGTTGCCGACAGCCGCCACCATCCTCACCACCAAGCTAACTTCCGGCCTCGTCTCTCTGACCTGCAAATGAGCCCTAAACCCTAAGCCCAACGACTTAGATTCGCCGGAATTTTGTGAACGTAGTAAGTGAACTTACAACTCTATTGGGAATGGTGCCCTCCGTGTGGCGCCACATGATATCACCGGCGTGGCGTTCAAAGATACAGAACGTGTTGGGCATCTTTACCGGCCTCCCATCTCCGGCCGCCATGTGCGTGTCCATAAACACTGCGTTTTCCGGGCAGTCTCTGAGTGGCTCTAACGCCACTGCGCACTGCCCGAAGCCGTACTCGCCGGAGTCGAAAAACGTTCGGTAGTACCATTCTTCGGTTAAATCCATGTAGGGTACGAACAGCTCCGATATGAAACCTTTGTACAGTACTTGTCGGTGCTTTTGCTTTTCCATGTCGTAGATTGATGCTAGCGATATGATTGGTCCAGCTCTCTCGTCGAAGCCCACGTGTAATTTCCAGTTTGACCAACTGCTCCATTTTCAAACTTTCGTGTCAATAATTTGGATTCCTTCACATTATTATTTGTGAAATCGAAATGGAATGGAGATGAGAACTAAACATTCTTAGTATGTAAAACCTCTTTATACCCATATGTTTTATACCCATGTGTTTTAAAAATTTTGAGGGGAAGCTCGAGAGGGAAAATCCAAAGTACGAAAACCTCTCCCTTGTAGACGCCTTTTAAAAACAGGAAGCCCGAGAGGAAAAATAAAGTGCAGACTTCCCGAGAGAAAAAACAGGATGTGGACTCTCCGAGAGGGAAAACAGGGTCTTCTAAAAATCTAGAGAGAAAACCCGAAAGGAAAAAAAGTAGGGTGTGAAAACTTTTAAAAAACGTTGAGGCCAAATAAGAGAAAAAAAAGCTCAAAAAAGACAGGAATCCGTAGATACGTAATGGGACATTAAACAGTAATTTGAAGCTCACCTAATGGAGTGGCCGTTGACTCTAAAGCTGGGGCCTCCCGGCTGCACCATCTTTATTCCGTTCAAAGGAGGCAAAAATGGCGGCTTGAGCATCGATTCTCTGTAATCGGTTCCATCGGCCTTCGGAATTGGAGCCTCATATCTATCTCGAAACCCAATAATCTTCATCTGATCGAGATCGACGGTTACCGTCACGCCTTCCACCGGCCTCATGTACAAATTCACACTCCCATCCAAATAGTAACACTGAACCTTCACCGTCCTCTTTTGCTTCCTCTTTTCCCCGAACCATCCAACGCTAAAACACGCGCAAACCACCTCTTCCATTTTCAGCCCTCTTTTTTTCATCGCCGCCACGAACGGTGGGTGGGACGGCGGAAGAGCGGCGGCGGCGAACTGCTCCTCGATTGTAAACGGCGCGTAGGCTGGACCGGAGTAGACCCGGTTCGAGATTATAGCTTTTTTGCCCAGGTCTATGAGGATCTCGTGTGTGGTACTGTTGTAACGGACGGTGGCGGTGGCGCGTCGGGGTGGCGGCGGGGTTTTGGGGTTTGAGTGCCATGAGAGTACAGATTGCTTGTTGGGATCGGCGAGGGCAACGTATTGGAAGGTGACGTTGGTGGTGGAGGGGTTGGGGAGGGAGTCGGCGATGAGTGACCGGATGAGATCCAATTCGTTCGGTGAGAGTGGGTCCAGAGGGTGACGGCGGACGGCGGCGGCGGCGGAGAGGAGGGAAATGAGGAGTGGGAGGAAGAAGAGAGAGCGTTTTGTGGGGTTACACTTTGCCATTTTTTGGGAATTTCTTTCTTTGAAAATTCAAATATAATAATAATGTTTTCTGCCTCGTCCAATTACATAATCACACGTGTCAATAATTCTTTTTTAATTTTTTAATTATAATTTTATATGTATTATATTTTTTATTTCCATCTATACAATAATATAATATTTTAAAATTAGGTTGAGATATTTTTTATAAAAAAAAAAAAAAAATTAGCTCATAAATATAATGGAAGCTTAGTCCACTCCATTTAATTAAAGTGAAAAATTAATTTTAATGAAATTAAATTATTATAGAAAGTTGTGAGAGACAGAGGAGAGAGAAAAAAAGTGGATGGAGAGAGCGGAGAAACGAGGTTTTTTTGGTCGGACAACTCAATAAATTCGAAAGCAAGGTTACAATCGAACTCAACTTATGGTCATAGTTTCAAACATGGTATATAAGAGTAGGTATGCCCTTATTCAGTCGGACACTCAATGTAGAGGGTCAAGGTTCCTAATATGATACAAGAGTAGCATGATCGTGGTTCCTAACGTGGTATCAAAGTCATACTTAGGCGTTTATCGATCGTTCTTCTTTATTGAATAATGGAAGTGAAAAATAGAACTTATTCACAAAGGCATGCATTTGCAGAGGGAGCGAAGTGTTATTCGAATATCGCACGATGTAAATTTATTTGATCACGAGAGATGTCATGACATAGAAAGTCTTTATAAAGTACAATCTAAGGAGGTAGTTATGGTTTCAGTGAGCGCAAACGGAGCGGTTGAGCGGGCGGGGAGGGGTGACTTTAAGCACAGGATTGCTCTCGAAGAAATTGGTCGGTCTCAGCTCAAACCCACTGCTAAGCGTTGGCATTAATGGGAAATCTTCTTGGCAAGGTGCATGATGAACTCCTAGAGTGTACCACATCACTATGTCCTTATTCTCTATCTCCCTGTTCCTGCGTTCATCAACTCATCCACATATGTTCTTGCTTACACTCTTTTTTCATGTTAATATTTAAGTAAAAAATATTACAAATTTATTAGGCTTTTCCCAGTGAAAACCCAAAGGTAAAGAAGAGGAAAGATTTTAAAACAAAATCAAAAAGAGAAATTCCAAGAGGACAATATCGACTAGCTTTGGACTGAGATATTATAAATGTTATCACAGTCAAACAACGAGTGATATGTCGAGGACACTAGGCCCTTAAGGGGGTGGATTGCGAGATCTCACGTTGATGGAACAAAGCATTCCTTATAATTTTAATATAAGTAATTTTGTGAGCTCACATCACATCGGTTGAAGAGAGAAATAAAGCATTTCTTATAAGGGTGTAGAAATCTCTCATAACAGACATGTTTTAAAACCTTGCGAGTAATATCTGCTAACGGTGAGGAAGAGTTTTAAAACATTGAGGGAAAACCTAGAGGAAGGATAATATATCTGTTAATTGTAGGAAAACGATTTTAAAACCTTAAATGGAAAGTTCAAAGAGGATAATATCACCGAGTTGTGTTCCAACGAAGATGCTAGACAGTCAAGGGGGTGAATTGTGAGAGCCCACACCAAGCCATGTGACAGCAAGGATGCTGAACGGTCAAAGGCGTGAATTATGAGATTACACATCGAGTCGTATGAAAGTGTATGCACACTAGACTGTGTTAGACGAACACGACTCTCCACAATGGTATGATATTGTCCACTTTGAGCATAAGCTCTCATGTGGCTTTGCTTTGGGCTTCCCAAAAGACCTCGTACCAATGAAGAGTGTATTCTTAGATTATAAACCCATGACCATTCCCTAAATTAACCGATGTGGGACTTTCATCATTCAACAGACTGGACTGAAACTGAAAAAGAAGGTAGAGGTGATAACCCAACTTAAAAATTTTAAAATATTGAGGAAAAAAGACAATAGTGGTGGGTTGGGTGTTTCAAGTTTAAACTTGGTTTTAGTGGGCTTGAATCAGACGGTTTACCTGAGACTCCAAGTAGCCAAGGTATCATTTCCACGGCTCTGATCTGTGTAGAGTCCAGAGGCCCATTTCTCAGAGATATTATACGGTGTAACCCACACATTGTAATTCGTGAACGCTGCCCTAATTTGGGGGTAATCGTCAACACTCAGAAGGGGACCCGCCGTCGACTTCGGAATCAAACGGTACCCGACGGGATTCCCCATTCTGGTCCTCCGATTAGGATTAACAACCACCAGCTCCGCCTCTTGACGCCCAAATTTGATCCTCGCATCCGCCTCTGTTTTCGCCGTCTCGGAGACCACCGTCCAATAGCTCTTCCTAGGATTATCGGTATTCGGTGGTCGGACAGTGCGCAGGTTGGATTTAACGAACGAGTTGGAGCCGCCGTCGACGTCGAGATCGAGATAGTAGGTGAAGAAGTGGTCATGGTTGGCGCCAATCGTATTCTCGGATATCAACGTGCCGTACACTTCCTCCTTTATCTGGTCTCTGTGAGTGTACTTTGATGCCTTCACTGCCAGCAAACCCGTCAACCCCACCTGTTCATATATTAAAATAATTTAATTTAAAATAAAATTATTTATAAAATATATTTTATGTATTTTATTTTATTTTCGATTTGATTAGTAGTATATTTTATATTGGAAGAGCTTACAGTAGCAATAATGGAGCCGCTCTGCTTAAATTCCCAGTCCAAAACATAGTCATAATTAGCCACGGTAGCCACCATCCTCACCACCAAGCTCACTTCCGCCCTCGTCTCTCTAATCTGCAAATCAAGTCGAATTCATCTAAGAATTTTCGAATCTTTAACGATTGTGCACTAGAAAATGAATTTACAATTCTATTTGAAATGGCGCGCTCGGTGTGACGCCACATGATATCACCGGCGTGGCGTTCGAATATACAGAAAGTGTTGGCCATCTTCATCGGCCTCCCATCTCCGGCAGCTATGTACGTGTCCATAAACACTGCATTTTCTGGGCAGTCTCTGAGCGGCTCTAATGACGCTGCATACTGCCCCAAGCCGTACTCGCCGGCATCGAAAAATGTTCGGTAGTACCATTCTTCGGTTAAATCCATGTAGGGTACAAACAGCTCCGATATGAAACCTTTGTACAGTACTTGTCGGCGCTTTTGCTTTTCGATGTCGTAGATTGATGCTAGCGATATGATTGACCCTGCTCTCTTGTCGAATCCTACGTGTAATTCCCAGTTTGACCAACTGGTCCATTTTCAAACAAACCCATGTTGACACGGTTAGGATTGTAGAACAACTTACAAACTTGAGGTAGATGACGATAGATAAACAATTACAAAGAGAAAATGCAAAGAGAAATACTCGATCGAGATGAACACCAAATTAAATAAATAAATAAATATATATATAGTTTTACTGGTTATAATATTTATCATATAAGTTACACAAAGCTTTTTACTTACGTGACTAATTACTGTTGTTTATGATAATTTGCTGTTTTTTAGCCTAAGCCGTAAGCTAGCATAGCCATGTATAAAGGTTAAGAACAGTGTTTTGAAGCTTACCTAATTGAGTGACCGTTGACTTTGAAGCTGGGTCCTTCCGGCTGCACCATCTTAACTCCGTTCAAAGGTGGCAAAAATGGCGGCTTGAGCATAGATGGTCTGTATTCAGTTCCATCGGCCTTCGGCACCGGAGCCTCGTATCGATCTCGAAACCCAATAATTTTCATCTCATCGAGATTGACGGTCATGGTCACGCCTTCCACCGGCCTCATGTACAAATTGACACTCCCATTCGAATAATAACATTGAAGCTTTACCATCCTCCTTTGCTTCATTTTTTCCCCAAACCACCCAACGCTATAACACGCGCAAATTACATCTTTCACTTTCAGCTTTCTCTTTTTCATCGCCGCCACGAACGGTGGGTGGGACTGCGGAAGAGCGACGGCGTCTAACAGCTCACTCAATGTGAACACAGAGTAAGCTGGACCGGAGTAGACCCGGTCCGAGATTATAGCTTTTTTGTCCAGGTCTATGAGGATCTCGTGTGTGGAACTGTTGTAACGGACGATGGCGGTGGCGCGTCGAGGTGGCGACGGGGTTTTGGGGTTTGAGTGCCATAAGAGTACAGATTGCTTGTTGGGATCGGCGGGGGCGACGTATTGGAACGTGACGTTGGTGGTGGAGAGGTTGCGAATAGAGTTGATGACAAGTGATCGTATGAGTTCGATTTCGTCCGGTGAGAGTGGGTCCAGAGGGTGACGGCGGCCGGCCGGGGCGGCGGCTGTGGACAGGAGGGAAATTAGGAGCGGTAGGAAGAAGAGAATGAGTTTGAAGTGGCTAAATTTTGACATTTTTGAGGAATTTTTTTTTGGAAATTCAAATATAATAAAAATGGAATTTTAGATGTTTTTTTTGACAGCAAATTAGCTGATAAATATAGTGGAAGCTTTGCCTACAATAATTAATTAGAGTCAAAACCAAATTTAATGAAATTAAAATATTAGAAAAATTAATATAAGAGGAGAAAAATAAAAAATAAAACATGTACAAACCTAGGTTATATATTTTTTCGATTTAGATTTACTTGATTTTTTAAATATTAAAAAATTCGGTCGGTTCGAGATTCCATATTTTCTGACTCCACTAACTTCAGATTGGGGTTACAACTCAACTGTATTCTAATTTTAAATTATTATAAAATTAAGAATGATTTATATTTTTAGTCAAGTTAATAATGAATATTTGATATATGAGGTTTACGTATTATAAATAAATATAGAGTTTTTTTAAATAATTAAAAAAATAACCTCGTAACTAAATCCAACATAACTTTGAAAATAGAAGTTCGGTTGAGTTAGGTTGTGAACTATTTAGGTTATTCGAGTTACCGATCCAACTAACTCAAAATTTCGAGTTGATTCAAAATATTTTACCTATCCAACCCATGCATACCCGTACGGATTATCAAAATTTTAGAAACTAAAACCATAATTTAAACTAAATTAATCTAATATTACAAATTTAACATATATTAATTTATTTTTAATAAAAATACA